GCAGGGAGTTTGGGTGGGGGGGAAGAGCCCAGGGCTGGGGCGGCAGGAGGTGTGTGTGTGTGAGGCAATGGTGGGGGGGAATGAGGGAGCCCAGAGCTGGGGCGGCAGGGAGTTTGGGTGGGGGGGAAGAGCCCAGGGCTGGGGCAGCAGGGGGTTCCAGCGAGGAGTCCAGGGCTGGGACGGGGGGCAGCCAAACTTTTTTTTTGCTTGGGGCGGCAAAAAACCTAGAGCCGGCCCTGTGCAGGGAGCATTCCATGCGCTTCCTCCTACCTTCTGGCCATGAACAAGGTGCTGTCCAAAACCCCATTGGGGAAGATAAGCCATTTAGGGGTATTAGGAGGGATTATGTGACGGGGGGAGGAACAATGGTGGACAGTTCAGTAGACTGTATTGTCTTTAAGGGCAGGCTAGCTGCTAAACTCGTGTGTACTGTGTGGAATTCTCTTCCAGGAGCTCTGGTGGCTATGCAAGTCCCCTTTCTGCTTCCTCTTCCAGGCCCAGTGGTACAAAGGGAACAACCTATCCTTCCCCAACCCCACCCCTAGTAACATTTCTTCCAAAATTGAATTTCTGAGAAATGTCTAAAATGAGTAGGAGGCCACTGAACTAGGACAAGAAGCAATGGGCTTAATCTGCAGCAAGGGAGATTTAGATATTCGGAAAAACTTTCTAACTACAAGGGTAGTTTCGCTCTGGAATAGGCTGGTGGAATCCCCTCACTGGAAGTTGAAGAACAGGTTGGATAAACACCTGTCTGGGATGGTCTAGGTTTCCTTGGTCCTGCCTCAGCACAGGGAGCTGGACTTGATGACCTCCTGAGGTCCCTTCCAGCCCTACATTTCAATGATTCTATACCATGGTGGGAATATGGATCTATCTGTAGATGCCATAAAATATTATAAACTCCCAAAAAGAAATGCTGGGATTTTTAGTTGACCTAGAAAATGTTTCTTCTACCTGTATTCTCTACATTTCCTATTTCTTAAATATAATCCAATTGTTTCTCACTGTAGTTTTGCTTTTCCCTCTCTTTCACAGATCTCTGCAAATGAAATAGAAATGCTTTTGATGAGATTGCCACGCATGTTTAAACAAGAGTTCACTGGTGTAGGAGCAACATTGGAAAAGAGGTGGAAGTTTTGTGCCTTTGAAGGAATTAAAACTACCTGACTGTGAATAGTAAAGAAGTATACAGAAGAAGAATTCCTAAAGCATGGCAGGGTTACCAAGTATTAAAGTATGAAATTTGGTTTTGGCACACAGAAGTACGTTTTCAGAGTTATCCAAGCCTAATTTTAGTTACATTTGTGACGTTCTCTTGTGAGTGGAAATGTGGTTGTGCACCAGTTCCTAAAAATATAAAATATTTTAAAATGTGACACATCTGTTTCCTATGAAAACTGAAGAAAGATACCACAGTCATAACGATGTCAAGATATTAATGTGCTACATCTAAGAATAGCTCACTGAGCAAATGGATAAGGGAAAAGATTGCCTAGTTATGGTTGCTAAGCTACAGCAATGTATATGTAATATATAGCAGAAATCATTACGTTATGTTCCTGAAAGTCTTTCCGTTAAGTAAGTAATTGTACAGTGAGAAAAATTATACCAAAAGAAAACTTGAAGATGTGTCTGAGCAGTTATTGTCTTTTGTAAATTAAGTTATATGCTGTTCCAGGGATTTTTGCCTTATTGAAAGAGGCCTGAAAATGTGATTGGACTTCTCGAGAATGCTTTATCAAGAATATTATTTTTCTAATGTAACTATTCTTCATTATAAGTTCCTTTAACATGGATTGCATATCAATTTTCATAAATATGTAAATAAAAAGGAAACCAGTGTTACTGTATTGTATTTGGTATGTAACATTCAGGTTTATGCATCAAAATAAATATTCAGTTCATTACTGTTAAGGATTTTATAGCAAATATATTAATTTTTTTTCAATAAATATGACTTCTACCATATTGTTTTTACAAGTTGTTCTTCTGATGTTTCTGAATGGTTACAAATCCAAAAGGTGTCTGTCAGTGTTTGCCCTCCTTCCACCAAAACCAGTTACAGGTCTGTCGCATCTTACGCTGGAGTTACGTTCCACAGTCAGCGCGTAAAGCGAAAATCGCCTATAATCAAAATTACATAGAGTGTAACGGCAGGCAGAATCGCCTGCACTACAGGTACAGTATTAAAATTGTTATTTTTCTTCTTTTTTTTTGCCAACCGTGTAAAGCTGAAATCGCGCATGTTAAATGCGCGTCAGATGCGACAGACCTGTATTACAAGCCTCCTGATGAAATGTATTGAGTGCTGTATCAAAGAAGAGACTGTAATATTAGCTTAAATCAAAGGAATTAAAATTAGCACCAGAGGAATCTCCAGGGTGAAGATTGTGCTTTTACAAACTGAACAGATTTCATTTTGTTTTAAACATATCGAGCCAAGCAGCAAGGTATTTAAACAAACAAAAGCAAAGACATAAATTTCACATTTTGCTGTGTTTTGCTGGGCAGCTACAATGCAACCAATTAGTCACTCTTTCTAACTCCAGTCCTGGTCAATCCTTTTGCGCTGTGAGCCGCATAAGGAACTAAGGAATTCACATTTGGTGGTACTCTTTAAATATTCAAATAGAAAAGTAGGGATTTTTTCCTCATTACCATGGAATCTGCTTTAAAATTCACAGTATTTAGAAGCCAGCATGAGGCCTTGCATTATGTGTGTGTGTGTATTGCACAATGTGCACGCATATAAAACTCAAGTAAGGAGAATACTGCAGAAATCACATCGTGAGAGAGACGCCTTGAAGATCCACTGCTATACAACATGCTTTCATGCAGATCTATATAAACGGTAGGAAAGTCCTCTCAAAACCATGGCCCTAAATGGGCAGAAGAAGAGGCTGTGACCGAAGTGGTTAAAATCGATCTCAAAAGAGCTCAAAATCTCTGACCCTTGTAATCTACAACAACAAATGTGACAAAGTATAACAGATTCAGGAAGTATCCAGTTGTAGATATATGCTGAGATCATTTTTATTGCTTGATTCCAATAAATAATTGAGTCAAATATAGTTAGCCATAAAGGAACTACCATATACATCTGTTAGCAACTACTGCTCTGGATAATCAGCATCTGCTGTAGGATTACAATACATAAATACTAAATTAAATATTATTTGTATGGAAAAGAAAAACAGAATCAGCAGATATATTGTCAGAGAAAATTCTACTCTCCGCTGAAATATGCAAATGTGTTTTAGAGAATGTACACTTACGGTTGCTAAAGTAACAGTATTAAGGCAAGTGACTCAGGTGAGTCTAGTAAATATAAACTCATAATAGTCATGAAACTTAACTACTCTAATCCAAACGTCAATGCTTTCTGCACTTGCACGAACAGATGTATGAATAATGCATATGAAAGTTTGTTATATCTGCCAGTTCTTATATAATAAAAATACAATGGTACCACATAGTGCAATTTACTTGCCGTTTGGGGCACCAGCCTCAGAAATAAATTGCAGATGTTCTACAGTAGAAAGTTGTATTTTATGTTCTGCAAAAGTTCACATTTTTAGCCATGTATTTGGATTTACTACAACACTTAGCACATGCTCCATAGTGAAATTGAACCCTATAGAGAGGGCCAGCAGGTGAACTACATCCCACTTGAGATCTTAAGTTATAAATATGCTTTGTGCCAGCCCTGTGTGCAAGTGTGAATGTTATCCTTGGTACTGGAGGCAGAGTAGAAAATGCACACTTTAAAATGAAGTGTATTTTACACTAACAAAGTATTTGTTGTTTACTGAAAACTGTATTATCCCCTGCCACAAATTTTTTTTTCTAATGTAAACTCATGCGCTGTTGCACATAGTGAAACCCAATTGTGTATCTCAGAAATGTATATCTCAGACTAAACTTGCATATTCTCAATTCCCATACCATCATACTCACTTAGGAATAGCTAGGCTCAGATTTAGTGAACATCCCATACAAAGCCACACTACATTTGGTTTTCATGTACAGTAAATTTTATGCAGTCTAAAGCTGAAAACACTTATGTAAAAGCATTTGAGATCTTTTTGTACTTCCATTAATATCCCTGGTCAGCTGTATGACTGGTGCTTATTTATCATATACACCTCTACCCCGATATAACGTGACCCGATATAACATGAATTTGGATATAACGCAGTAAAGCAGCGCTCCGGGGAGGCAGGGCTGCGTGCTCCAGCAGATCAAAGCAAGTTTGATATAATATGGTTTCACCTATAACGTGGTAAGATTTTTTGGCTCCCGAGGACAGCGTTATATCGGGGTAGAGGTGTACTATCCTTCTAATGCAGGGGTGGGCAAACTTTTTGACCCGAGGGCCACATTGGGGTTGCAAAACTGTATGGAAGGCAGGGTAGGGAAGGCTGTACCTCCCCAAGCAGCCTGGCCCACGCCCCCTATCCAACCGCTCCCACTTCCCGCTCCCTGACTGCCCCCCCTCAGAACTCTTGACCCATTCAACCCCCTCGCTCCTTGTCCCCTAACCGCCCCCTCCCAGGACCCCCCCGCCCCTAACCGCCCCCGGGACCCTACCCCCTATCCAACCCCCCTGCTCTGACCCCTATCCACACCCCAGCCCCCTGACAGGCCTCCCCGGGATTCCCATACTTATCCAGACCCCCACCACATCCCCTGACCGCCCCACCACAAGCTCTGCCCCATCTAACCGCCCCCTGCTCCCTGTGCCCTGACTGCCCCTCGGGGCCCCCCTGCCCCTTATCCAACTCCCCGGCCTCCTTACCATGCCGCTCAGAGCAGCATGTCTGGCAGCTGCGCTGCCCGTTCGGAGCCAGACACGCTGCCGCGCTGCTCGGCCGGAGCGCGCAACCCCGCCACTCAGAGCGCTGCCCGCGCGGCGGTGGGGGTAAGGTGACAGCGGGGAAGGGCCTGGGGGGCTAGCCTTCCTGTCCAGGCGCTCAAGGGCCGGGCAGGAGGGTCCTGCGGGCCAGATGTGGCCCGCGGGCCGTAGTTTGCCCACCTCTGTTCTAATGCCTGAAATGGGAGTGTCACAGATGCATCTAGTTGTCTGATAGCTTGTTGCATATGTGGCTTTTACCAGCTATTTTCTATGCAGTAGCATAACAGCTGCTTTTTTTCCCCTCTTTCATTGTGCACAACAGTGTGGGGATGCATACCTATAGTGCCATAATTTTGGTCCCTAAAGGCTAGCTTCACAAAGGGGACTTTGGCATTGCAATGCCTAACTTTTAGGCACCCTGCCACCTAGTGGCATTCACAACCCTGAGCTAAGCAGTCAGGCTCCTGTACAATGCATGGGCAGAGTTAAGCACCTAAAAATGGGATTCACAGACACCAGCAAGCTGAACAGGCTGCTGCCTAAGCTAGCCCATAGGAAATGCCATGTTCCTCAAATGGGGTAAAAGTGCCTAACTGCGGCTGGAACATTCCCTCCATTCAGCATTCTCAGTCATGAACTCGCTCTCCTAGACTTTGGCAGCTATACCAGGTCAGTCCTTTCTCATAAAAAAGCATGGAGGAAAGAGGAAAGTGATTGTGAAGGTTCTTGGGGTACCCAGAATTGTGAGTCTCCCTGTGACCCCTCCCCACCCCACACACACACACACACACACACACTCACAAAACCATGAGGGACAGTGGCTTGTGCTTAGTTGGGTGTCAGCTCCCTAACACTGCCAGCCCCTCAAGCACTCTCTTCTGGGCTTCACCAGCCCTTACTTTGTCTTGCAGGCTACCAATAGGTGCACTCCAATCCCCGAGTCCCTTTGAAGCGTTCCCCTGTGATAACTGGCCCCTGGCTTTGGCTTCTCACAGAACTAACAAGCTTTCTGTTCCTAAAGGCCCAGTATACAGACCAGATTGTAAGATTCAGCTCAGGATCAGCACTTCGCTTAACACCACAGCACTGAGCTATACTTATAGTGCAAACAAGAAAAAAATGTATTATCAAAGTCTAGAGACTCAGGAGATAGGAAGGATATTGGAAACAAATGGTTACATATCAAATAACATCATAACACACTTTTCTAGAGCCTAAGCCAGTTAACGTCCTAAAGAAGATTAGCTCATCCAAAGTCCTTTGCCATGTTTTCAATCAAGGTTGGCCGAGATCCCAAGGAATCTATTTTATGAATCTACTTCCTAGGTGCTGGATGGGCGGAGGGAGGGGGGTCTTTTTGGCTGGCTACATATACCCCCAAATTTTGTTGTCTGTACTCAGAGACAGGATAACCTCCAAAGTTTGTTTTTCATATGTGCTATTTCCCTTTGATTTCAGAGCTCTTTGTTAACATCTGACTTTGTATGTAAATGGACATTCATTACGTTAGCTTGCAATGCTTCATTTACATCCCATCACAGAGCTATACCGATCTTATCTCCTTCCCAGAGGGAAACCTGTTTTTCACCTGTGCCTTGATACAGACCTTCAAACATATCTGCAGTATATATATATATACACCTAGCTCTTTCCATAGTATCTGTACATACATTTCACAATGATAACAATGAGCAGTGTGACACTCCCCCCCTCCCAGTTTCCATTTAAGACCTCACATGATATTCTTTGGTCAACCAGAATGTTCATACCAGAATCAGGACATTCCTGTTAACCCCTTGCCAGCTGGCTTTAAGAGGTACTTGGGTCACAGTGGTGGTGAATCCCTCCCCCCCCTCCAATTTATACCTAATAGTTTGAGTACTCACTGGGATGTGGGAGACATCGGTTCAAATACCGCTCTGCCTGATTGGCCTATGGGGCTCAAGCTTAGGGGCTGTTTAAGTGCAGTGTAAATGTTCAGTCTTGGGCTGCGGCCTGGGCTCTGGGACCTTCCCACCTCGCAGGGTCCAAGAGCCTGGGCTGTAGCCTGAGCCCAAATGTCTACACTGCAATTAAACTGCCCCTCAGTCCAAGCCCTGCGAGCCTGTGTCAG